TATTTTCAAATATTCACACGTCCCGCGGCAAGAGATCTTGCTGGAACCATAAAAGGCATTAACAGATATTTGGCCCAAGCAAACAACAAGCACTAAGCCCAGAGCCACATTCATATACAAACCATATATATATACAGACCAGACACATTTTCCACTTTCACTAATTGTCTATTCTGTGGCTCGATTGGAAGAAAATAAAAACCGCACACTGAGAAACTGGAACAACTCAACTTAACAGAAAAAGAAAAAATATACAAAAGTTGAGGGGGAAAATAGGAGGGGAACTGAGCGATAAGTAAACGATCGGTCTTCTTAACGCCCGCACAAGATCGGGGAAAAGATTATATTATAATGCATTGGCGCACTCTCCAGTTTTGCTATAACTCCTTAAAGAGGAATCAGATCTGGAACAGTGAGTGTAGATATAAAGGCTGGGCTACAAATGAGTCACACATGTTGCAATTATTATTGCAGCGTACTTTGCATTTCAAATATTTGCATAACAACTAAGTAACTTTCAGCTAATTAAATAAATATATTAAAAAGCCTTGGCCTTAATGTGTCAGTGCTAAGACTCTCATCTTTACCTACAATATTTATACAATTAATAATAACTAACAGGCCATAAACATTGAACCACATTTCACAGAAATCGCATCTTCTTTCTTTCTTATAATTAATATTTCGACTTACAAAGTCATCAGATTGGTCATATCTAAGATTAAGGCAATATAGTAATTAATGCAATCTTATGAAATTATATACTTTAGACATTGAATGTATCCCAAGATTCTAATACTTTTTGCTCCATTTAACTTACTACACAAAGAGTGAGTAATGAATCACTTAACTCATTCGAATTCGTAAATTGGTGAAATAGTATATCACAAACAAATTAATTCAGGGTCAGGCCTGCGATCTTTCTTTTCTTTGCTTTGAGTTCCCCTTTTCTGAAGCCAAAAAATATGATTATAGGAATGAAAATACATACATATATCAAAAAATGTTTGCACAAATGACAGATAGCCATAGAGGCTACATAAGATGTGAAATACAAAATTCAGATCAGGCGACATATATGCAAATCTCATATTGTGGGTGTATGCTGAAGAAATGCACTGCTGGAAAAATCTTTGTAGAACAGTTCAGGTATAGAAATAATCTAGTACTAGTTCAAAATTTATTAATGAAAATTCACGGTTAACAAAATTAATTGTGAAAATACAAAGGTATGGAATTCACACTTGGGAAAGAATATTTTCTAATAAACAATTCATTAATAAAAAATTACTTGTAAAATTTCAATGATGAAAATATTTCAACTGACAAATTCATTAATGGAAAACAGAAGTAATACAAGTCTTCTAGTGAAAATAAGGTGTTAGAAATAGCATTGCTTAAAAATTTAGCTAAACAAATATACTGTTAAAAATGTATTGGCAAAAAATGCTCTAATAATAAATTCACCGAGGCCTTTCCGAGACCATTTTCCGGAAGGGGGCGTAGTGGGTGTGTATCGTGCCTGAATCTCTGTCACATATTTGCCGATGGTGTTGACTGAAAAGAGAGTAGACAGCTGAAGGAAAAAACAGAATTCTACAAACCTATTAAAGATTATTGGCCTGGTGCGAAGTCAGCAACACCCACAAAGCCACGCCCCCCTGTACGGTCAAAGGCGGGAGCTCTCAAGTGTTGCACAACAAAGTGTGATTAGATAGCCATAATAACGAAGTTGGAATACTCTATCAAAATATAAGATATATATGTTGTATATTTGTAATTGACTTAATATCTAGAATTTGATTTGATTTAGTTTTTGTTTGTGATTTAAACAGATAGAAATTTTGATTTCATTACAATTTGAAACATTTTATGATAATTGTCCATTGTCCATTGATCAACAGATAAGATAAGAAAATAAGTATCGGTTTAATAAATTCTTTGGAATTAAGTCCCAAGTTGAATCTCAATTTAGGATAACAAAGTTGTTATTTTCAAATTTCCTGTATAGCTAAGGGCATAAAATAAAATCATATTTCCATTGAAAGGGGTTGGAACTTTTTGTCAGCTCGACTGATTGACGGTAGCGTTGAAAGCAGTTGTCCATCAACAGTCCCAAAGAATTGAGAACTAAGAACTCAGAACTGAGAACTCAGAACTGGGAACTGAGATCCATGAAGGGGAAAAGTCTCCACTGAGAATTCCCGACTTAGAAGCGAGAAATGAAATGCAAATGCATGGATGCAGATCTGGCTTTTTTGGTTTTCCTCGCTCACTTGACAGAGATCATTAATAAGATTTATGCGCTATTAGCAGAACCAGCCACAGGCCATAAATAAGACGAATCCGCCGAGGATTTGAGCACATCTCCAAGTGGAAACCTGTTGACAGGCGAACCAACATCTGGAGCTGAATCACCTCGTTGGCACATAGCATTCGCATATAAAAAATAAAGTAAAATATAAAAAGTAAGGAAGCCCAAGAAAGATAAGCATATTTGTAATTGGCCTGTAAATGAGGCTTTAATAGTCGCCACCTCAATATGTAGTTGATAAATGATAGAAGACTTCTCTCTCCTAGAACCCATCGTAGCTTATTTATTTTTACCACTTCACAAGATTCTATTCAAGATCAAGGAAACCAATTAAAAATTAATCATTTGTTACTTTTATAGACCTGAGTAATATAAATATCAATCTTAAGAAAAACCTGCCTATCAATTAAGTTTCTCTTATTTTAATCAGAAATCGATGAGGTCAGCGGTTTCGGTTCTTGTCGAGAAAATCAAGTCTACAATAAACTTTCAATTATATGGGAATAGAACAAAAACAATAGGAATATAGCTGATGATGTAATTGATTTACAAAAATTTACTTGTCTCTTAAGTCATCTAAATTACGCGTGAAATGTGACAAAATGTGAATAAAAGTAATAATTCAAACTCTTTGACAAGGAACATTTGGTTGAACATTTCATATATTAATATACATATATTACAATAACAAATTAAATATAAGTTTAGAGACTTATGTATGTATGGACAAAGGTCTAAAACCATTAATTTAAAAAGTACTTGCCAATACTCACTTACTAATACTTCACCAATTAATATATTTTATCTTCTATTTTCAAGACATCAAGACTGACTTTTTGTGTTAGCAAATTTAAAAATATGTTTCAGAAGTTTGTAATCTGCCGAAATTAATTTGAAATAATTCCAAGAACTCCTGAAAAATGACTCACGCACTCAAGAGAAATAAAAAGAGAACGAGTGCAGTTTGCTCTTAAAGAGAAAGCACACGCACCGCATTTATACACCCAGAAAAAATAACAGCAGAATAATTTTAATTGCATAAATAAGTTATTTTTATACGCCTTAAGGTATTATAATTTTTATCAAAATTTGCAAGGCAGTGAATAAATCATTTTCGAGCGAAAAAATCATATTCTTGATTAGCATCAACAGCCGAGTCAAGCTAGGAATATCTAATAACTTTTTCAAATTTTATAAGTCTTATCAGAATTATTTTGAAATTTAAAACTTAATAAAATTATTTTAAAAATTTGTTTTAAATTTTTAAATTCAATTAAACTAATAGAAACCAACACCGAATAGGAATTGAAATGAATGCCTCTTTGGCTTACTTATCATAATTTGCATATAACTATAAAAAACTGGTTTTAAAATATAAAAACAATTATTTTAAACTGTTAAGCTTACGAACTTAGTTCACATTTTTTCCGAGTGTACAAAATGCGATCGGCCGAGAGAGCAAAGAGATCGGAGAGAGAGCTTTTCACGGCATAATAGGCTGCTGCGAATCGAAAATTCCATTCATATAGCCGGCAGACTTCATCGTGTGAACATCGTTTCGTTCGTTCGGTCAGATACAGATACATTTTCAAGTTCGGTTCTGTAATAAAAATATATTTAAATAAATCCGATTTCAATTAAATGTGAAAGTACATGAAATATAAGAAAATAAAAAGAAAGCCCCACAGGAAAATAGTGCAAAAAGGTGCCTTAAATAATCTAATAATAAAAATAAATAATGTCAACAAGTGCCTAAACAATAAACCTAAACAAAGATATTTTAAAAGTGTTTAAAAAATAATGGTGAACACACAAAAGAAAACAATTGTAAACACCGATTATTAAATATAATTAAGTGTAACAATATTTAATTTATAACAAATTGTAAGAGTTTATAAAGAAATCTAAAGCAACATAAATAAAATAGTTTGCAATGTGAAACTGTTCCAAAAGTTCGCCGTGTTTTTTTCGTATTTTTGGTTTGCTTAAAACAAACACGTTTTTTAACGTGTTGCCGGCTGTGCGACGATTATTTATTTTACGTGTGACGACCAGACAACAGCAAACAAATTTATTATAAATAAAAAAAGGTGGTTTGTTTTTTTTTTGTGGTATTTCGCTACCATTTGCAATACTTGTATCGCATCCGACAAATTCGCCGATTCTGTGCAGCTGTGCGTTAAAAGCGAAGGCGTGTGCCAAAAAATAAACATTAAGCTGCCAAAAATATTTAGCAACTTGTTAGACACGGAAAATTCTCTGACAAGTTTGGCGTTTGGTGAGGGAGGGAAATAATCGTCAGCCCACGAAATATTCAATTAGTAAAACCAAAAATAAATGCCTCATTTGTCTGGTTAAATATTTATAAATGTGTGCCTAAAAAATGGATAGATAAAAATAATATAATTATGTGTAGGAGGGTGACAAATAATTGCCAGTTTATAAAAAATGCAATTACCAAATTAATGAATTGGGACAAATGACTTAATTAATGGAAAGTGAAAAATGAATATAACCTAATAGATACATTTTTAATGCAAGTGACTTGTGGCAGTTATTTAAGAGTTAAGCTTTGCTTAAAATTATATTTGTTACATTACCTAAATGCAGTGGCATTATTCATAAATAAATAAAGCTAAATTTATTTAATTTCAGAAAAGTGCCCCAGTGAAGTGTGCTGCAAAAATGCCAAACAAAAGTTGATCTGATCAGAGTGCTTCTTAAAATTAAAATCAAATTATCAAAGAATACCTTAAAATACTCGAATAAAAATACTCAACTCGAAATGAATCTCCACGTCCTCCTGCTGATGATGATCTTGGAGACCACCATCCTCGCATATTCCACCTGGCCGACCTCATCGTGGCTTGGCACAAATAATAATTACCTTGACGTGAGAAATTCGACCTTGTTTGTGCCTAGATCCACCTTCTATCCACCCACCCACAACGAGGAGAATGAGGAGGACTATGACTATGGGGAGGATCAAGAGGATCATCCGGCTATCAATGTGGCCACATTCTTTCACAAACGGGTGCCACGTCACCCGGGCAACCAGGCGGTGTCGCGCCTCCAATCTTCCTCCCGGAGACTCAGTTTCAACGTCAACGCCCCCTGGCAGCAGAGTGATAACGATAATCACCTCAATTGGCACAGTGCCGCCGACACGGAGGTAAGTCTTTCATCTCGGGACTCTAATCTAGCATATGAGACAAACACTTTGGTGAAACCATAAAAGATGCTGTTGACACGCTCTATTCTTTGCACTTTACTAGTATTTAAAGTGGATTAAATATTACTATCTGGGTGGTGTTTTCTTTTACTACATTTCTTGGTAAATTAAATCCCATAAATGGGAATACAAAATACTACATAAATTTGTAGAACTATTACCTTTACATTCCAACTAGACTTTCAATTAAATGAATATTTTCGTAATCAGAATAATTAAAGTATCACCTATTTTCCAAGCTAGGCATGGTTTTTTTCTCACTTACTCATGCAAATAAATTCCGAAAGTCGTCTCTTCGGTATCTGCAGCAAAACTTGTGTTGCGCATTAGAATCTTTACGATTCGGATCGGAATGGAAATCATAATCGGCATCGGAACGAGATGGCTCACCTTGAACCCCGGGGCCGTAAATGACTTGATACCGGGTGACTAACCCTGGCAGCACTCACAATCGCTCCGATCTTCAAGCCTCTCGCCGTTTGCAAATCTCAATGTAGGAGATCGCTGCCAATTGGCAGATCACAGATCGAAAAGACCACCCAAATGGCTGAGAAGGATCAAAACGAAGGAGTTATACAATGGTGGCAATTATGAAACGTGTTGCGGCAGGTAGGAGCCACCAATTTGGTTAACAAGGCAATTTGGCGGTGCTTTTAGCTCGATCAAGAAGAAAGAGAGAAAGACAGAGATCCCTAGCCAACAATCGGTTTCACTTTCCGGCCTGTAATTGTGCCGTCCGAAAAGGGGGATCTCCGCCAGAACCTGTCTCTGCTGTTATTTTACTTTATTTTTTTGTTAAATATATACATATATATATATATATATTTTCTGCCCGTTCCATGGTCGACAGCTGGTCAACAATCACCAGAGGGGGATAATAAGAGACGGGCTTGTTAAAGGGATCACTTTCCGTTATGGTGGTCCCATCATTAATTGGCCTAATTGACTTGACAACTTGTAACTGTTTGCCGCCCTTAAAGGGAAATCAATCGTAGAAGCGGGATTTCCTGAGGGACAATTTCTTTGATTTACATTGATTACTCATAATTGAGATGGAACATAGAGAAGAGTTTATCAATGATTACTCATGATATCTCAATTAACAATAACTTACTAGATTTCTAATAAATTCTTAGGATTCTGACAACATTTATATGCAATATTTACTGGTTATATAATCGAGACTCAACCACATTGTCTTAAAGTAATGCCAAATATTTTCAGAAGCAAAACAATCACAGCATATATTATTTAATATTTTGGAACTTAATTCTTAATAATAACCAAATTCACCAGAATTATTCCGATTTATTATGCATTTAAAATAAAGCTAATTGAAACCCTTAAGACATAAACATTTGATTCTGGAATTCCCCGAAAACGCACACAATCAGTCGATATATAAGTCAAAGCTGATTACTAGACGGCGACAAACATACTCTGTTTGATTCTGGGTGTCACTCTGATTCCCCACAGACATATTCTCCCTTATCTCTGTGAATATAAATATATATACATATATAGACAACTTTGCACAAGTATGATCCAATGCCACAGTTGCTTTAATAAGCTCTCACGATATGTTCATGGAGGATGAAAGGGGTATGGAGTTGGATTGGGGTTCCGATGCACTCAGGCGGCATAAAAAGCTTATGGTCTGTGGTCATGATTTTACCTGAATACCCAACCTGTGCTACACCTAGCCCCGTCTTCCCTTTGACCTCCCAAAAAGGAATTTAATATCTGCTTGTTTGAGCTGCATTTTCTGCACATCGCCATCCCCCTTCCGCACAGTTTTCCACCCACCTTGGGAAATGGTTGCAGTTTCTGACAAACTCCACACGTATGTATTTATGTATCGTTCCATCATCATCATTTCTCCCCGTGTGTTTACTCTTTCCCTGTTTATTCGCAACCACATTCCGTACGCATAACTGCACTGAGATTAAGAACTAAGAATGGGTCGCATTCAGCCCAAGAGTTTACACATTCCAGGACACGGAAACATTTCTCCAAAATTTCACATTAATTCACAAGCATTACAAAGCAAGAATATAAAAGAAACATTAAATGTTGCTCAATATTTAATAACAAAACAAAATAGGCAAGCCGCAAATAGGTCAGAATAATATGTGGCACTGCAACTAGCCATAATATAAATACTAAACTATAATAATCGCTTATTCAAGAACTTTGTTGCTGTATCACAAGATCTATAAAATGTAAATTTTTATATTTATAGCCCAATGTGCGATTAATATAACTTGATCTAGTCGTTGGCATCGCTAGACTCATAAAAGTATAATCGCAATAGTTGAATGACTATCTTTGAGGGAATTGGAATGAAAATAGGTTATCTTAGGTAAATAAGAGAAATAAATTACTAAATATAACTATAAATCTAAAGAAAGTAAAGTATGAATTGGTAGCAGTGTTAACTTAAACCAAATGAGGCTTAATTAAAATCTGGCCTTAAGCTCAAAAGATAAGACCTGGCGATTTAAAACACTCATAAAACGCAGACTACAAATTAAGTCTAAATATAGTTATTTATTTATATAATTAAGTTTGGGAAAAATGTTCTCATTTCTTCAGTTAGAAAAGTAGATATATTTATATATACAAAGTTTACTTATATGAAAGGGGTATAAAAGCGAGTAGTTTTAGGATTTGAAGTGAAAAACATAGTAAATAAAACTTGTTTTAACGTAAATATTTAATGTATACATTTCAAAATTCAATGAAAATTCATAATTTCGTTAAGTAATTAGGATATGATACTTTGTATTATTCCAAAATAGGTTCTATTCAAAGCATCTGTCTAGAACAAAATGCAAATATTTTCGACAACACTTTGCAACTGAAACAATTTCACTTTCGTTTCGTCGGCAAATCGAGAGATAAACACAAAGTTCTCCTCAGCGCCCCCATAAAATCTCCATTCCCCATAAAATTAGTTGACCCCATCTATTGCCACACAGAGTTGAACGATGAAATCTGTTGCCACGCACACCGCTATATAGCCAGGGGGATAGTGTAAATATCTGGGGGAATTCATGATTTATTGGCAATCTTAATGTGACGCGCTTTTCCATACAAAAAAAAATAAATAGGAGACAAAAAAAGTAGAGCTAATGACAGGCAAATCGGCTTATGACATAATGGCAAACCACTTTCGGGCGGTCTACATAGTACACATATACATATACATATATATACCAACGATCTGGCCATGATTTATAGTCCTACCGAAATAAAGTATATAATGCGGAAGCTCTAAATTTATATGGCAAATCTATAAAGTTTTATATTATTAATTCCGATGCCGCATCGCGCCATCTAATGAACGTGGAAAACAAGCGGCAGGGAAAAAGAGTTTACGGAATGTGTGGGGAAACTGGTCGGTCGCCAGACCAATAAATTAAGATCCAAAAAGTTCACGCTTTTGGCAAACGGACATAATTTAGTGGCCCCGACTGTGCGAACTGGCTGATTGATCGCCGGGCGACTTGTTGGCCATTAAACGGGCCGTGCGCCAAGAGTCACGCAATTAAGACCCACCAGCAAATATAAATCACGGCCAAGACGAGGCCTTAATACACTCCACGCTGGCATAAATCATAGAAATTCCTTTGTTCTAAATTTAATGGGAATTTCTCTACATTTATCTATGATCTATGGTGTTTCAGAATATCAAAGGAGTTTAGGGATAAACATAAAAATTAAGAAATAGTTTCCATTCTTGTATTTCTCTGATAATTTATTTGCTGTGACAAGTCAGAGATCATTAATCATTCCTTCTGCAACTCATTTAAAATGTATTAAAAATATACTTATAATTTTAATCTAATTATTGTATATTTCCATCATATTTTTTCACACACATCTTGTCAAAAAGTCAATATTTCCTTCTGTGTCAGTCAGTGTATCCGACTTTTGATAAATTCAAACAAATTGCAGATTGAAAAGTCAATCTAGAGCAGGCCAGACAAGTCGAGAGATCGGTGGATCGATCGGTGGATCGATGGTGGTGGTGCAGCAACGTTTCAATCTCTTGGGCAATCTAGCGGCAATCTATCCGTGCGTGTGGGCGTTGCAATTAGAAGAGTCAGACATCCCCGACACTCCCATATGCCCCATGCTCCTAACTCCTACCTCCCGAGATCCCCAGATCCCCAGATTCCCTGCCATTTGCCCAGACATGTTCTTCAATTCGACGTCTCGACTGGCAATCAGTCTCTCGATCGATCCCTCAGCGACTTGCATGATGATGATGCATCAGTTCACATTTCCGGCATTCGCTGAGACTTGCAACATGTTGCAGCAACTTTTGTTGTGACTGGGCCGACTTAATTGGGAGGCGCCTCCTGGGTGAGTTGGAATCGATTGCTGATTCATCTTGGAGCAGAAATATATACCTGATCACAAAAAGGGAGTTCTTTTCAATTAATCAGGGAATTCAATAATCAAATTAAGGTTTTCAAAGTGATTTTGAAATAGAAGAAATTAATGAGGGAGTACTCAATGGATTTCTTTAATTAGTACTCTGGAAAATTAAGCTTTAAGCTTCTCTTTTTTAATAGTTTTAGTCTAAAAGCGATTTTAAAACTATCTAATATAAAACAGCTAATATTTAACTAAAATTTTATTACCAAAAAGCTCATATTATCGATTGACTAAGATACATTTACCTACCAATCAAACTTTATTAGAAATTTCACTTAATCAATAAACTAAAGACCCCCTGAGCAAATTTGTTAAAGAACAAAATAAAGAGCTCTCAAGTTAATAATTTTTAAATACTATTAATAATTTTCCACCTCTAAAAGAGAAGATGCTTCCATTTCACTTTGTTTTAACGACGGCAGCCCTGATTTCTGGTGGCCTGTTCTCTGGCCAAAAACCAGCTAGGCTCTGTCATTGACATTGGATGGATATTA